TGTCCCTTTCACATTGATGTTTCTCTCTCTCTCTCTCTCTGTTCCTCTCTCTCCCTCCCACTCTACCTGAACAAAAAAAAATGGAAGAATGTCCTCGGGTGAGGATAAAAAAAAAAAAGCTATTAATTAAAACAATTGGTTTCAAATTAGGTATGGATGAGAAACCATAAAAGATTTAAGAAAAAAATTAAAAAAGATAAAAGCAGAGCCCTGGCCGGGTAGTTCAGTTGGTTAGAGCATTGTCCTGATATGCCAAGGTTGTGGGATTTGATCCCCAGTCAGGGCACATACAGGAACCAACCAATGAATGCATAGGTTAAGTGGAACAACAAAAATTCGATGCTTCTCTCTCTCTCAAATCAATATATTTTTTAAAAACACATAAATGCACACCGCACTCAGACTGTATCGAAAGTGTCTTTAAATTATCAATCTAAAGGAAACAAAATCTGAAATCCTAAATGATACAATATGAACATTGGATCTTAAAAAAAACAACAAAACAAACCCCAAAGGAGTGAGAGGAATTTGGAAGCTAAAGGGAAGAGGAAAGAATAGAAAACCCTTAGACCTAGGTTAGAGGAGTAGTGACCCTGTTGTGGCGAGTACAAGGTAATACTAGGTAGGTTGACTCAGCTATCCCTCTTGGTGTTACCATCAACAATGGTTGGCCTGTCAGCCACAAGTGTCCAGGTCAAAGTGACACTTGTCAGGGCCAAGGAGATTCTGTCCATTCTCTTTCCTGGTCCCATTTCTTGCTGCTGGTCAAGGGCCATTGTATGCCTTTGGGAAATTGTAGCCCTCATGGGTGGTATGAAGAGAAAGACTTGCCTCTTGGTCAAGGTGGGGCCAAGTAGAGTCTGGACAGAACCAGTGGAAAACTGTCCCTTAGGTCAGGGCAGTGGCAAATTCACAATCCCTGTTATAGTATTGTTATCGTGGATGTATTTGGAAATTAAAATATCAGCACAGAATAAAAAGTAAAATTCCCCAACCCAGTTCTGTTAGTGTTATAAAAACATAATTCTAAATAATAAACATAGCCCTGGCCGGTTTGGTTCAGTGGTTAGAGCGTCGGCCTGCGGTCCTGAGAGACCCGGGTTCGGTTCCCGCTAAGGGCGCATGCCTCGGTTGCAGTTTGTCCCCGGCCCTGGTCGGTTGTGCGGGTGGCGGCCACTCGATGTGTTCCTTTCGCGTCGATGTTTCTCTCTCTCTCTCTCTCTGTTCCTCTCTCTCCCTCCCACTCTACCTGAACAAAGAATGGAAAAATGTCCTCGGGTGAGGATAAAAATAATAATAATAATAATAATAATAATAAACATATACCTCACTCAAAAAAAACACACCCCAAACTCAAAACAAAAAGGGATGCTGTTCTTCAATCAGCTGACCTCTAACAAACTTATACTCAAAGAAAAGACCCTAGTGTGTGCACACATACATACACAAACACATACCCGTATTTATATGTAAAACAAAATGTTTAAAGTATATGTTATATGATTTCCTGATTCTGATATTTTGATTTACTGACCAACTAACAATGGTTCTAATCACATTGGCCAAGAGGGCTTTACATTATATATATATATAAAACTTTTCAATAAATTTTAAATTACACAAGATACACAATACATATAAAAAACAAAACTATATATATAATCCACAGAAGAAATTAAAGCGGCTAATAAATATAAGAAGAAAAAAAAATTTAATGCTGCCCTGGCCAGTGTTGATCAGTGGCTGGAGCATCAGTCCAGGAACAGAAGTCTCAAGGGTTCAATTCCCAGTCAAGGGCATGTACCTGAATTGCAGGTTTGATCCCCGGCCCCAGTCAGTGTGCATGGGGGAGGCAAGCAATCGATGTGTCTCTCTCACATCAATGTCTCTCTCTCTCTCTCCCTCTCCCTGCCCCCACTCTCTAAGAAATTAAAGGAAGCCCTGGCCGGTTTGGCTCAGCGGTTGGAGCATCGACCTGTGGACCAGAGAGTCCCGGGTTCGGTTCCCGCTATGGGGCACGTACCATCCCCCCCCAAAAAAGAAAAGAAATTAATGGGAAAAAATATCCTTAGGTGAGGATTAACAACAAAAGAGTTCAATGCTGATGAGGGACCTTAATACTAGTTGACATAATCTTCCCAAAAGCAATTTGGCAATATGTATGCCTTAGAAAGTTCATATACTTTTACAAATAATTTTACTTCTAGAAGTCTCTTAAGAGGAAATAAGAGATTTTAAACAAAGATTTATGTCCAAGGGTAATGACTACTGCATTGATTTTAATCACAAAAAGTTAAAAACAACCCAAAAATCTAATATAGGAATATTATATACTGTTTATAGATTAAAATTTAGTGTTACTCAAATATTAAAGTTCTTTTTGTCTAGAATATAATCTCTAAGAATTTAACAATATGAGGAATATAGTATGGCTGTTCCTGAAAAAATTAAAACTAGAATTACCATTTGATCCAGCAATTCCACTTCTGGGAATATACCCAAAAGAATTCACATCAAGGTCTCAAAGAGATATTTGTACACCCACGTTCATAACAGCATTACTCACAATAGCCAATAACTGAAGCAACCCAAACGTACATCAACAGATGAATGGATAAACAAAATGTGGTATATACATACAATGCAATATTATTCAGCCTCAAAAAGAAAGGAAATTCTGATATGTATTGTAACACAGATGAATCTTGAGGATATTATGCTAAGTGAAAATAAGCCAATCACAAAAAAGAAATATTGTATGATTCCAATTATTTTAGGTACCTAGAGCAGTCAAATTCATAGAGAAAGAAAGTAAAACGGTAATTATCAGGGGCTAAGAGGATTGGGAGTCATTTAATGGGCATAGAATTTCAGTTTTGTAAGATGAAAAGCGTTCTGGAGACTAGTTGCAAAAAAATGTGAACATACTTCATAATGAACTACACACTTAAAATGGTTAAGATGGCCCTGGCCAGGTTGCTCAGTTGGTTAGAGTCATACTGATATGCCAAGGTTGCAGGTTTGATACCTGGTCAGGGCACATACGAGAATCAACCAAAGAATGCATAAATAAGTGGAAAAACAAACTGATGTTTCTCTCTACCTTTCTCACTCTCTCTAAAACAAACAAACAAAAAAGGAATAAAAATACTTTTTAAAAAAATTGTATCGCTTTTAATCTCTTCTGAGGTCTAGTAATAATAGGTAGTAAAAAATCCAAAGTTCTATTCACAATATGCCCTAAAAATGTCAACGCTCTGTTGGGAAAACTTTTCAGAGAATCCACCCCACCCACTAAGCCTATTGAAGGATGGTGATCACTTTCTGTATTATGTCATTTAACAATGGGAACAAAAGCAGAAGCACTGACTCTAGATACAACAAAAAAGTCAGATGGCTATTTATAAGCCAAATATGAGAGAGTAAAAAATATATACAGCCTGGCTGGTGTGGCTCACTGTTGAGCACTAACCCACGCACCAAGAGGTTGCCGGTTTGATTCCCGGTCAAGGCACATGCCCAGGTTGTGGGCCTAATCCCCAGTAGGGGCATGCAGGAGGTGGCCAATCAATGTTCTCTCTCATCGATGTTTCTATCTCTCTCTCCCTTCCTCTTTCTAAAACCAATAAAGAAAAATACACACACACACACACACACACACACACACACACACGAGGGAGATAGAGGCCATAGAGAGAACAGAACGAATGCACAGAGATGACATGAGGGAGATTAGAAGATCCAGGAAAGTAAAGTCTCTCAGTTTTTAATGTGGTCCCAGTTCCAATAATAATGATTTCGTTCCTCAACCTTTATTTTTTAAGCTAACTTGAGTAGATCTGTGCTCCTTTACCCCTAATTAAATATAATCCAAGCCTAAAAAATTTTAAGTATAATCTGGCAGCAATTTGGCATGCATAGGTTGAAACAACATTATTTCTTAGAATGTTCCTTCTAATTTTTTTTCTATAACAAAGATCAAGACAATAGTGAAGTGACTTGCTTTATGAAATTATTTCAAACTAGTTAAAAATATAAATATCTTAAAAAATAACTTTGGAATCACTGGTCTGTAGAGTCTGTCTTTCTAAAAGTAATTAAGAGTAGGACTAGTTGTTTGTAAAAATAAAAATACAAAGCTGTTAAGCCCTGGCTGGTGTGGCTCAGTTGGTTGAAGCGTCATCCTATGTACTGAAAGGTGGTAGGTTCGATTCCCAGTCAGGGCACATGACCAGGTTGCAGGTTCGATCCCTGGTTAGGGCGCACGTGGGTGGCAACTGATCGATATTTCTTTCTCTCTAAAAACCAATAATAATATTTTAAAAAAATATGCTAGAGAGCCCTGGACGGTTTGGCTCAGCAGTTAGAGCATCAGCCTGCGGTCCAGAGAGACCCGGGTTCGGTTCCCGCTAAGGGCACGTACCTCGGTTGCAGTTTGTCCCCGGCCCTGGTTGGTCGTGCGGGTGGCAGCCACTCGATGTGTCCCTTTCACGTCGATGTTTCTCTCTTTCTCTCTCTTCCTCTCTCCCTCCCACTCTACCTGAACAAAAAATGGAAAAAATGTCCTCGGGTGAGGATAAAAAAAAATATGCTAAAGAAAAAATCTGTAGTAGAAACTCAGTACTTCTAAACTTTTCCACTATAGGAAGAAAACATAAAGCAACGCTTTTCTCATGAAAAATATATTAATATATCGCTTCTCGGCCTTTTGGCTAAGATCAAGTGAAAAATATATTAATATAGCACACCACATGAAAAGAGTTCTGGAGATGGATGGCAGTGATTGTAACACAACATTTTGAATGTGTTTAATACAACTGAACTATACTCTTAAAAATGGTAAAGATGGTAAACTTTATGTTATGTAAATTTATATAAAAAAAATATTGGAAAAAATAATATGGCACACCATTGCTTAACCTGCCAGACTACTTGACTGTATCCTGAAAAGCAATTTTGACTATTTATAAACACATATTTCCCCCTCTCTCCCCAAGTACCTTGAACATCTCGTCCTAAAACTTCCGCATAGTTCTTATCTTTTAAGATTTCCTGGCCATCTTCCTCCAAATCATATTCCGGCTTCTTTATTTTTTTTGTGTTGACCAAAAGTTGAGGTCGCTCCTTTTTTAATTTAGTTCCTATAAGAACATTCAAAGAATTAGAACATGACTGGTACAAATTATTTCTAAACATTACATTTAAATAAGTAAATAAACTGTACTACTTATATTGTCATTACTAAAAAGATGGGAAAAAATTCAGTGGACTGAAGTACAGACCACTCTTCCAGTTTATATAACTAAGCTTAAAAAACAACATATAGTGATGGAAAAATAAAATAAAATAAAAAATTTATAAAACCCCCCAAAAGCCTGCCAGTTTGGCTCAGCGGTTAGTGTCCATCCATGGACCAAAGAGTCATGGGTTCGATTCCCAATAAAGGGCATATACATCGGATACAGGTTTGATCCCTGGCCCCAGTTGGGGTCATGCGGGAGGCAACCAATCGATGTGTCTCTCCCATCAATGTTTCTCTCTCTCTCACTCTTCCTCCCATTCTATCTAAAAATCAATGAAAAAAATATTCTTAGGTGAGGATTAAAAAAAGAATAATAACAACAATAATAAGCACCCCAAAACAACCTTGAAAGTGTATTACCACCACTATACCACTACTAGTCATTTCATATTAGATAAGGCTTATCTTTAATTTTCAAAAAAAGTTTGAGAGGAATAAACTAAAAATAGTTTTTTACAGTCTTACCAGATCAAATACTTTGTGCTATATTTTCAAAATAGAAGGCTAAAATATTTTAAAAAGTGAAACAGTCCATAACCATTACACAGGTATCTCTTAAATTGTATGAACTTAGTACCTCCTTCTCTATCAAGAATGTGATTAAGAACATCATCATCTCCCACAAACCGAACCTCAAGCATCTTGTCTTCCTTTAATTCTAGTTTATTCATCATCGCCAACCTAAACAAAAGCAATAAAGTACTCAAAACAGATGAAAAATTCATATCAACAGCCAAAGAAATTAAACATTAACATAATGAATACATGTATAACATATTAAAAACTCTTTAAGTATGAAAAATATATTATGCATTACTGTATTAATGTTATGTTTTTGATAATAGGTAATTCAATTCTTTATCTGAAAAATGAAAGAGAAAGATATGTGTGAGATTTGGAAAAAGCTAATTCCAATCAAGGCAACTAAAATGTAACAGGAAAACAACTCTGCCTACAAAGAAAGCTCTGACCAATCTACAAAATAACATTATCAGAAAAGAAATGGTTAATTACATGAGAGTCTAGAAAAGGTGCAACCAAACAAAGAATATGGTTTGGTGAATTTTAATTTCTGCTCACTAGAAAGATACAGTTCATTCAGAGAAGTCTGTATACTTCACCAGCATACCAAACCTGGATCAAATAATCCTCACGACCTCCCTTTACTATTATTGCATGCTTGCCAAACAACTTGACAAATATGAATATGGCTTTCTAGGTATCTTGGTAACTAAACAGTAAGCATAAACCTTACCAATACTTTATAGTCAGTTCTTCACTGAACAAACATGAGTTTGGCAAACAAGATTAATCAACTCTAGCTATTCTGACAAAATTTAGCTTCATAACTTATACTACTAATAGCCTGCAATTAACCAACGATGATTCCAACTACCTGCCAGCTAAATCGGTTTACCCAAAAAATGAATTTTTCCCTCTTATAAATCCTATTTATGCCTTTTCTCCTGATAAGGGGAACTACTGACTGTGCCCCTCATACGTTAGTTATTTGCATGCAGATAAATGTTGTAACTAGCACTTAAATGACTTGCCTTAGTTTTCATTTACCTTTAAAGGTATTACACATTCTGTAGTTGGAAAATTCAGGTAGAGTCACCTGTAATTGAAAAAAGAACTCAGTCAGCATTAGCTAATAGGAAAATAAAAGCAACCAAAGGTCATGAGTTTTAACCAACAAGATGACTAGATAAATTCAGTTCTTACAAAGCCCCAGTTATTCTGATAGCATAGTAAAGGGTAAAATGACCATTATCATTTTGGTTAGGAAACCTTAGTAACTGAGATCTGGATTGGGGAATAGATACAGGGAGGAGACCACATTTTGAGCACTTACCATATGTTAGACAGTTTTGAATTATCTATATGAATTCTCATTTATTCCTCAAAACAATTCTATTAGGTTTATTCTTTGTGTATAAAGATAATAATTCATCTATAATTTATATGACCACTGCCAGTGAACTTACGCTTTTGGGTCATTTTTCTACTCATGATATTGTTTATTATGGGAATACAGGTGTAGAGAGAAAAAGTTTAATGCATCTACATGACATTGGTATAAAATAAACTTACAATTCTTTATATCTGTATAAGATAAAGTTTTTCTTTGAGAGGCTATTTGTCAGGCACTGTTTTAGGCACTTTTATGTATACCAGATCATTAAATCCTCAGATTCACTTAGGTTAACTATATATAATTCCCCTTATTTATAGATGAGTAAACTGAGTTAAATGTTAAATTACTCAAATTCACTCATTAGAAAGTGTGTTAGGGCTGAAACCCAAGTTTGATTAATTACAAAGTCCCTGATCATTCTATTACGCCATACACTTCTCCTACCATTAATAAATAAATATACATCTATTTTCCTAAATGCTTGTTTTGACCTCTGGGAACTATTCACAATATGTTTAATCATTTTCCCATATGACAGTTCAAATATCTAAAGACATCTAGAGTTCCTCTAGGTTTCCAGTTCATTAGGTTAAACATTACTAGTTCTATCAAGCATATATTTAATCTTTCTTTTCTTTTCTTTTATTGATTTGAGAGAGAGATCGATTTGCTATTCCACTTATTTATGCATTCATTGGTTGATTCTTGTATGTGCTCTGACCAGGGACGGAACCCGAAACCTTGACCTATCCAGACGACACTCTAACAAACTGAGCGACCTGGTCAGGGCGACCAACCATCCTTTTAAGAACATAGCCAGATTCAGCATAATCAACATTATTTTAAATTGTATACTGTTTTGTTTTACAAAGGTTTTGAAGCAGTAACAATAAACAAATGCAATAAAATAAATGATAAACTATCAGGGAAAATATTTTAAAAAAGCAAAAATAAAATCATACAAAGAATTTTGGATTTTTTTGGTCTATTTCAGTGCTTCTCATTATCTGTTGTTATATTAACTGTTATTTTCATCAGTGACAAACTGATATGCTGTAAAGCAAAATAAATTGTAAAAATTTTAAATAGAAGAAAAAAATTTTTTTAGCTTTAAACTTCCTGGCAATCAAAGTGGAAATGGAGGAAAGATCAGTTACATAATACTCATTAGCAAAAGTTTAGTAGTTTCTTCAAGGGTGAAAAAAAGATTTTCACAGAAAATTTGTAAACAAATATTCCAGACAGCTGAATATTGTTCTAGGCAATTTCCCTATGGTAAATTTTACATAAGAATTGCCCGAACAGCCCTGCCAGTGTGGTTCAGTTGGCTAACCGTCACCACATGCACCAAAAATGTCAAAGGTTTGATTCCCAGTCAGGGCACATGCCCAGGTTGCACATTCCATCCCTGGTTGGGGTTTTTGCAAGAGGCAATCAATCTATCAATGCTTCTCTCTTTCTCTCCTTCTTTCTTTATTTCTTTCTCCCTCTCTCCCTCCCTCCCTCCCTCCCTCCTCTTTAAAATCAATAAAAATATATTAAAACAAGAAAAGGAATTGCCCAGACAGAAGAAACCAAACTTGGTCTTGTTTGTAGCTGAAATTCGTGTACTTTCCCTTTCGAGATTTTTAAAAAAATATTTTTTCTTTATCGATTTTATTTTTTAAATTTCTTTTAGTCCTGGCCGGTTTGGCTCAGCAGTTAGAGCATCAGCCTGCAGTCCAGAGAGACCCGGGTTCAGTTCCTGCTAAGGGCATGTAATCGGTTGCAGTTTGTCCCTGGCCCTGGTAGGTCGTGCAGGTGGCAGCCACTCAATGTATCCCTTTCACGTGGATGTTTCTCTCTCTCTCTCTCTCCCTCCCTCCCACTCTATCTGAAAAAAAAAAAAAAAAAAAGTTTTATTTTCTTTATTGATTTTTAGAGAGAGAGGAAGGGAATGAGCAAGAGAGAGAAACATCAATGAGAAAGAACATAGGTTGGCTACCTCCTGCATACCCCCCACTGGGATTGGACCCACAACCTGGGCATGTGCCCTGATGGGGAATTAAACCGGCATGGGTGGATGCGCAGCCAGTGAGCCACACCGGCTGGGGCCCTTCTAGATTTTTTTTTTTGGTACCTGCCCCTAGCGGGAACCGAACGGGGACTCGCTGGTCCGCAGGCCCAGGCTCCAACCCCTGAGCCAAATCTGCCAGGTCTAGATTTTTAAGGTATCTATTATTATATAGCAGAGAATCACCAAAGTGAAGACATTTCTACAAAGACCTTGAAAGAAACCTTTCCTTCCTTTTTCTCCAAGAATTTCTGGAGGAATAAAACACCACCAACAATAAAAAACCTACCTGACAATAACAATAAAATGCAAATACTTAGTGACCATTTACTCTTCAAGGCACTGTCTTGAGTGCTTACTTTTTTTAAATCCTCACTGTAGGATATTTTTACATTTATCTTCAGACAGCGGAAGGGGGAGAGAGAGACAGACAGACAGACAGACAGACAGACATCGACTGGCTGCCTCCTGCACAACCCAGCGGAAAACGAGGTACGTCCCCTTGGATGGAATCCAACCCAGGTCTCTTTGGTCCGCGGGTGGACGCTCTAACCGCTGAGCCAAACCGGCCAGGGCTTCAGTGCTTACTTTTAAGTGGACTCTTTTAAGTAGTTAACAAGGCAATAATACAGCAACACCAAGTGAGTATTAAAGTAACAACTCTGTCCTGAGAGCAAATAAAGGATTTGCTGCAAGTTTTAAAAACAATCTTTTTTTAAAAAAAAACCTGATATAGGTTAGTAGTCAAGCACCAATTTAATATCAGATAAACCTGTGTTCTGATCTTAACTCCACATTTAACAACTGTGTGACTTTGGACAAAGTTGTGATTAAATGAAATCATGTGCTTGGCATATGAAAATACCAATTAAATGTTCCCTTTTATGGGTGTTTTTACTTTAAACTTCAACTTAACCATGCAGATCTCTTGTACTTCTGTGTATCCCATCGAACAGCTAACAGCCAAAGTGCTGAAGAAGCCATGAATGCCCGCTGTGCAGGGATCGGGTAGTGCCATTACAGACTGCAACTTAACTTGGGAAAGGTGTGATGGTTCTACTAGGGTTTCAGTTGTAAAACGACAAGTAATGCACCAACATCGTTTTTATTTATAAAGTTCTACCAAAAGGGGCTGCTTATCAACATTTTACAACCAAGAGTTGTCCGCGGGGGCCCGTTTACTTAGGATTCATTTGGTGCTTCCAGGCTGGGATGACATCAGTTTCGCTCCAGTGCTAGTTCTGGAATCGCTTCCCCTTCCGTCCTCATTGTACCCGCTCCTGTCCCAGGACGCTACTTGTTCATTACAGATACTTGCTTGCTCTCTCTTTACAATCACAAGGTTTGTTATGCCGGGAAACAGGCATGTTGGTGACAGGCGTCCCTTGCACTGAAGGCCTCTCAAAGCTGGACAGACGAACGGTCTTTCCAGGGGGAGCCTGTCACCCCAAGTATTTACGGGTTTCGGCCCAGGTCTCGCGCTGCTGACCAGTTGGCTGTGCTCCGCCAGCTGGGGGTCCCTGGGACCGCGGGGCTTGGAGGACAGCCTGGGGACAGGAAAAGGGAGGACGCAGAGACCCTGCCCCGAGTGCCACGGGGAAGACCGGGGACACGTGCGCCCCAGCTCCATGGAGAGGCTGGGCGCACCTCGACTCACCTCACAAGCCCGGAGCTAAGCAGTTTAGCAGGAGAGGGAGGCAGGCTGCGCGGGCGCCACCACGCACCGCTAGGTCTCGGCCAGGAGCGGCTCCAGCCACCTCGCTCCAGCCGACGCTACCCCCCTGAAGGGTCGCGGCAGGGAAGGCGGCTTCGACCCGAGGGGGAAGCCCAAATTCTGGTAAGAGGTGCCAGAGCCGAGTCACAGAATCGCAGGGTCTCGAGGTCCAGCACTAGGACCCCAGAGGCTGGCGGGGGATGGGAGGCCCAATGGGGCACACCGAATCTCCCGCCCTGCTCAGGGGCGGAGCCCCGGGAAACCAATAGAAAGCGGGGTCGGCCAAGAGCGATGGCTCTGCTGGCCACCCGGCGCCGACCTGCGGGCCCCGCCCACCAAGTAACCTGAGGAAAACTAATCCCGAGACGCTGGGGTTTGGGCCTTTCCTTTCCTCTTTCCGTTTCCGGGGAAGGGAGAGAGCTGGTGCTTAGATCCGGGCAAGTTTACAGACGTGTTGCTTGCCGGGCAGTTTCTCTGTCAGGAGAGAATCTTGAAAGTGTTCCTTGGGTTCTCTAGATACCTTCTTTTGAGGAAACATATAATAAGAGTGAATTCACATTCTTTTTTGTTTAAACTCCACCTCCTTTGGCGTGAAAGGTAGGATCCCTTTATCTTTAAGGTTAGGGGTAGGGAGGAGCGGAGACCGTCTCTCTGTAAAGAAGAGAATTAGAGCCCGGGCACTGAATACGGAGATAGGATAAGACAGCAGCTAATGGAATAAAGAAACAGAAAAAACAGAATGATCAAACGTAGAAAGGGATAATGAGAGAGAAAGGGAATGAGCTGGTGGGATACAGTATCACCTACTAACACAATGCCAATTCATTTGGATTCAAAACAAAACTGCAGAGTCCCCCTGTGAGGAACAGAGGGAAGAAATAAAATAGTCACGATAGTCACGCTGCTAAATTACTAAAATCAAGAAGGTTGAGGCATAAGTAAATAGTTCCTTTGTTTGTTTT